CAGGTCAGGACACGTCAGGGGCCCAGAAAGAAAGAATGTGTCTTCTAGAAGCTGCTCTGCCCTCCACCATCCATTTCCTCCCAAGGTCCTGGCCAGCCTTTGTGCCCGGGCCTATGCGGGTCACGCTCCTGGCCCTCTTCCGGCTTGTCTTCCCTCACCCACTCACTTCTGACTCATGCCTTTGAGCTTTTCCCTTTGACTTTGTTTTTTCCTATGTGGGTCCCGGCACAGTGGGAGGGGGCTTTGCATCGTTGGCAGTTTTGGAGGCAAAGCTCTGGCCCCCACAGACTCCAGCCCATGCCCCTGACCTCACAGAGGCCATGATGTATCCACAGGTGGCTTCTACCATTTGGGGAATATCTGGCCCTTCTCTTAGAAGCATGGGGTCTTGGGTCCCCTTATACTTCCCTACTCACTGAGTCCAGCTGAGGTTGCTCTCAAGCCCCTGAGACCACTCCTTGGGTGACTTCCCTGCCCAGTGGTCCTCAAACTCCCAAATAGCAGGGGATGCTGATCCGGGTCCCATCCACAGTGGAGTGCCCTGGCCCTGGGTACCCCCTGCCAGCCATGAGCACTGCTGCTCCTTCAAGTCTCAGCCATGCCCCCTCCTGCCTGCTTCCTCTCCTAGTGTAAAACCCAACAGATCTTCACCTTCTGCCCTTCATGTGTAAAGAGAGGGTTCTATTTCAGAAATTCCATATCCTTTGTCTGTGTGTGTGTGTGTGCGTGTGTGTGTGTGTGTGTGCGGGTGCGTGCACCCCCAGTTCTGGAGCTTGAAATCAGAGCTTGGGATGCTGTCCTTGAGATTTTTGTTGTTGTTGTGTCCTTTTGGCTTAAGGCTAGCCCTCTACCACTTGAGCCACAGCTCTACTTCCAGCTTTTTGATGGTTCATTGGAGATAAGATTCTCATGGACTTTCCTGCCTAGGCTGGCCTTGAACTGTGATTCTCACATCTCAGCCTCCTGCTAGCTAAGATGATAGCCAGTAACATCCAGCTCCATTCCTTTTAAATCAAAGATAACAAACATTGAGTAAAATGTGCAGGTGTTATTTATAGATACATTCACGAACAGCCACTGCAGCCTGGCTGTAGAGTGTCACCCTGTCGTAAGCACCCTCCGCAAGTTCACAGATTGCAGAAATGGCTTATCACATTCTAATGCTCTAGCAAAAACCCTGCTGGGACTTTGAATGAAGCTGCATTGAGCCCACAGATCAACCAGACTGGAAGATGGCAGACATCATTCCAGAAGCAAGAATCCTCCCAGAATATGGCAGACCTCTCCATTCATTCAGGAATCTTCAGTGTCTTCTAATAAAGTTCTTTCACCATTCCCCACAAAAGTCTCAGACATCCTTTGTTCTACTCATTCCTTGGAGCTTGATATTTTCTGATATAATGGTGTCATCTTTTAAAATAAATTTTGACTTCCTCCTTGTTGTTGACTCCTGAATGTTCTGTGTAACAAGCACACTAATTCTCCACTCTGGTGGCGGCTCTTTGCATTCCTGGTCTTCTGTGGAGGGTCCCGGGCCCACGGAGCACCCTGTCCAGCACTGCTACCCCATCCCCATGACTCACACCCATAAATACTTTCAACACCTTTAACTCCACACAGACACTTCCCTGGCAGCTCAGCAAATGTCACCATGTCGGCGCAGGGCACCGGCTCCAGTGGCACCTCCCAGGAGTGGGGACACTAGGCAGCCTTGAGCCTGGTGATGCCCCTGGGCCCAGGCACCCTGGCTGGTGAGGGCGGAGCAAGGCCCCACGGCTCAGGGCCGAGACCCTGGTGTGTCATCCTCTAGTCCTGGGTTCTTCCACTGCCAGGCGCCAGGGTGGACGAGAGGGCAGGTCCTCAGAGCCCCCTCAGCCTGGGCCCACAGCATCAGCCTCGGTGCCCCTCGCTGAGCAAACCACAAAGGAAGGAGCCAGCTCCGGGAAGGCCGTGTCCTGCAAGCTGAGCTTCCTGGGCCCTGTGGGAGCCCTGGGTGCAGTCCCACGTCAGTCTGTGCGTGTGCATGGTCCTTTCAGCTCCAGGACGCCGATGCTGCTGGTCCTGGACCAGGATGGGGGACTGAGTGCTGTCTGCATGGCTTCCTGGTTTTCAGCTCTTCCCAGTGGTGGAGTCCTCCAGGAGCTGGTGACGTTCCAAGGATGTGGGCTGGCATGCTTCAGCCTGGCCAAGACCCAGGGCCACTGCCTGTGCCGGTCCTCTGGTGGACAGGAAGACCCCCCCCGCCCCAGGCTGCTGACCGATGCCGCCTGGACCTCACAGAGCACTCCTTCCCACTCTGGCCAATCGTACTTGTTCACAGAGCCTTCTGTCTTTTGTTAATTTCACGTTATTCATCTGCACAGTGAGCCACCTGGACTTGGCTGGTGTAATGGGGTGGGACAGATTCTACCTTTCCTTTAGGTCACCAGAAGTCCTTCACTGAAGAAGCCCCTTTTCCATTCAGGCTGCTCCTGGATATGGGGACACTGGCATGCTGAGTCCCATGAACGCAGGTGGCAGCTCATCCAGCCAAGGGTCTTGGATTGCTGCACCACTTCCTCCCACGGAACTCCCCTCCCCTTGTCCACTTCCTCCCCAGGCCTCCCCTCCCCTCACCCACTTCCTCCCACAGAACTCCCCTCCCCTCGCCCACTTCCTCCCACGGGCCTCCCCTCCCCTCGCCCACTTCCTCCCACGGGCCTCCCCTCCCCTCGCCCACTTCCTCCCACGGACCTCCCCTCCCCTCGCCCACTTCCTCCCACGGACCTCCCCTCCCCTCGCCCACTTCCTCCCACGGGCCTCCCCTCCCCTCACTCACTTCCTCTCTGGGCCTCCCCTCCCCTCACCCACTTCCTCTCTGGGCCTCCCCTCCCCTTGCCCATTTCCTTCCACAATCCCTGTATTCTTAAGTGTCTGACAATCTGTTCTATTGATCTATCAGCCTTTGTCCCAGTACAATGCCCTTTTAATAATGACTGATGTTTTGTATTACACTTTAATATCTGGTCATTAAAACTGTTTCTAAATACTATTTTCTACCTATTTGCCAAAGAGGTTTTCGGCAAGCATAGTGGCTCATGTCTGTAATCCCAGCACTCAGGAGGCTGAGGTAGGAGGATCCAAAGTCCAAGGACAATCTGGGTTCATAGTGAGACCTGTCTCCAAAACAAACCAACCCCCAATCCCACCATCTTCCTAAATCTCTCCTTTTTATTCCCCTAGGTAATATCATTGTTTTGTTAAAATTTCTCTTCTAAATATAAAGGGGAAATGACAACTCACATTATACACTTCTTTGTGAAAACAGAGTTTATTTATCGGGAAAGGAAACATGGTAGACCCTCAAGATGCTCCGCTGAGGGCCCTGAAAATACTTCTTACATAAAACATTCCCAGCCAGGCCCAGAAGCTCAGGTCTGTAATCCTAGCTGAGATCTGAGGATCACAGGTCAAAGCCAGCTGGGGCAGGAAAGTCTGCAAGACTCTCTTCTCCAGTGAACCACCAAAAAGGGCCACAAGTGGTGCTCTGGCTCAAGTGGTTGAGCACTAGCTTTGAAAAAAGCAAAAAGAAAAGAACAGACCTTAGGGACAGTGCTCAGATCCTGAGTTCAAGTCCCAGGAAAAGCACAAAAACAAAACAAAACACACACACACACACACACACACACACAGACCCACTACAACCAAACAAACCAGGGGACTGAAAAAATGTGACATATGAGACAAGGGATACAAATGACACAAAACACAAAACTGCAGCCCGGCCCCACACCCAGGGGCTTCCTCAATCAGGCTGGGGCATGAGCGTCTGCACTTGGTTTGGGGGCCGTGGAGCACATGCGGCCTGCTCTGCAAATGCCAGGGAATGGGACATGTGCTCTCGGCACTGAGGCTGAGAACTGGGAGGGCTGGCGCCCACTCAGACAGGTGCACACATGGACAGGTGCGCACTCGGACAGGCACACACTCGAACAGGTGCCCACTCAGACAGGCGCCCACACAGAC